CAAGAGGGTTCTATAAGCATTATTATCAACGTAGAATCTGAATATCATATCAGAAAATGTCGCAAATCTGACATTTACCCGACCAAATAGCAAAAATAATTGAATACTTTTCGCAAAAACTTTAAAAATCGATAAAAATATGAAATATAGATATTAAAGAGACTTTTTATATAATATTTATAAAGATTTTCCAAAAATATGATACCGCAAAATTAAAAAAGTGACGTCTTGAGTGGAGTCAAAGGTCGAAATTGCTAGCTAAATGTTTTTTTAGTGAAATTACGTATTGTACGTTTTTTCGCAAACGAAACCCTTATACTAAATATTCTAATATTAAAGAAGATTATGAATTTCAAGATTACAGTCTTTCTTACAATCCGATCCCAAAGAAAAAGTATGACTTCTTATTCGATGTTAAAATGGAGAGCAGAAAAAATTTATAGATTCTGAAGGAGAATTTTATCAACCTGTGATTGCATTTCGAGGAGTTTTCAAAGATCGTGTCTTCTTTTTCTATGGAACAAGTCTCTTTGTTGTATCAAAGTATGGTGATATAAGTCCAGGATCACTCGTTATAATGCCCTATTGTTACTGCCCTTTATATAATTTTGACGGATTTCGCGATCCAATTGGTTGGCTTGAAAAGAAGATTGTTAAGGAGATGTTAAAGTACTTTTCAGAAGACAGTATTTATCAGAAGAATCCAGTTTTCTATGATGATTGGGCAGATGAAGGCTTACCATGTTATGGTATTGAATCTGCACATTTTTATCCAGATTGTTTCATTCCAATGGGGGATATTATACCGCAAAGCTATGAATATTAAATCCATATCATTTATTTTTTGAGAAATTTAAAAATTATTATTGATTTGTCTAATTTAGAGAGTTTGGAATGTTAAATTGCAATTTTATTCTTATTGCGGAACTTTGACACGAAAGTTTCAACAGTGTACTGTTGTTTATCACCGCATATCATTCTGGAGACTTGCATAGGTAATATCTACCAGAATGACACATAGGAAAGCTACAAGAATGCATATGGCACTCTTGAATGCGGAACGATATGCCATTCTGGGAGACATACACAAGCATTTAATTCTCTTCTTGATACAAATATTGATTCCATTGCAGACTGAAGATTTAAAACAAATGGATTTTATCTGTTCTTGAGAAAACCAAGAAAATGAGAACACCTTTTCCGTGACAAACTGATTGCGCAAGGACTCTCAAATGCTCTTGAACGAATGAGAACTCACATTAAAAGAATGCGGAGAATGGTTATCAATTATGAGAGGATAGTTATCTGCTTGAAAGACATTCTGTACAGAATACGTGGTATAAGTAGAACTCGAGAAAGATGAGAGTATAAATACACAATTCCATCTAATTCCATGTGCACTTTTGCAATGTGATATTGATGTTAATAATTTATTAATAAATTCGACTACCTTTCACGTGATATGAATCGTGCATTGAATACTGGCTCATTCATTTATGACAGACTTATTTATAACAGCCGTGTAATTGATGATCAACTTTGTTGGAAGTTTTCAGAAATACCAACAATCGAAATGTTCTTTTATAACTTCAATGATATGGCAGAGCGGGTTTACAAGCACAGAGTTGTTCAAGCAATCGAATTAATGATTATGGATATTTTCGACGTCTTCTTTGAGAAAGTCGACATTACAGAACTTACGCAGGATCCAAATGTCTTCGTTCAGTACGATGACCGTATCCTTTATTCAGTAGAGTTGAACGAATACGGAGAAAAAGCGAAAAATATCTCAGATCGAATCATCAGACGCGATCTTTACAAGTTTATTGGCGAAGTACGTATTGCTCCAAAGAATTCTGGTGGAGAAAAGTACAGCCAACGCCATCCAAAGAGTATCGAAGAAGATATCGTCGAAAAAGTCGACGGATTGACAACAGATGACATCCGTGTTGTATCATCTAGGTTTAGATATGGATTAACACGCGATCGCCATCCTTTGCTTTGCATTCCTTTCTGGAAAGAAGAGAATCAAAAGATTTTCCTTACAAAAGACCAAATTTCTGCTATCAATCCTGATTCTATCTTATAATTTCTAATTTACTATTGACATTATACCATTTTATATCAATAAACGTAATAAAAATACATAATGATCCGAAATCCGTGATATCATTGTTAATTCCATGTATAACATTGAATTTTTTCTCTTAATTAATAATAAAGATATTTTATCTGGTAAATTACAAATGCGTTCCCCATTAATGTCTGATCAATACATTCATCTAAACAAATATGGGGAACTGCGAAATATGTACAAATACTACATCGATTTGTATGATGCATTGTATCAGCTTAAAACTGAAAAGGAAGAAGAACTCAACAAGATTTACAAAAAGGTCCAAACAGAATTGATCGACTCAAATAGATTCCTACCCCAACGCATTGTTGAAGATATTTTGAATATCATTCCGAGTAATAATCGCTATACAAAGTCATATTTATCTCTTGTGAAAATCATATGTGATGACTAACATGTCAATGAGATCAATAGTGTTGATCCTATTTCAAACTTCTTTTTTTACAAAGAATATGGAATTAAATTAGGCAAGTCATGTGATTTCGAAAAAAATAACACAAAAGATCTGGATATTCTTACAACAATAATTATGAATAATGACTTAGAAAGATTTATTTCATTCACCGAAAGAGAAGTTTTTGATAAAGATCAAGAACTTGAAAACAAATTATATGAAAGTAGTACAGATAATTTTTCATTCATTGACTTATATTGTTACTATGGAGCAGTTGATTGTTTCAAGTTATTAAGAACGAAATTTAAATCAGAAATAACTCAAACATGTTTACAATTTTCATTTTTAGGAAGAAATCAAGAGATAATGAGTGGATGTTTGAAATATCAAACTCCAAATGAAGAATGAATGAAGTATGCATTTATCTCACACAACATTGATTTTGTTACATTCTTGATGAATGAATTCAATTTAGAGATCAGTTTAGAAGAATGCGAAATTTACAATAATCTCGATTCCTTTTTAGTTTATTTCGATCAAACTAATGATATTAGCAAATGTTTTGCTTATTCATCGATGTTTAATATTCCACCCTTTTGGGAATATTTCCTTTCACTTGGTGCTGATATCAATGCAAAAAACGATAATGGAGAAACCGCTCTTTTTGGTGCAGCATCTAATAATAGTTAAGAAACAGCCAAATTTCTGATTTCACATGGTATAATTATCAATGAAAAAGATAATGTTGGAAAAACCGCTCTTCATTATGCAGCAGAAAAAATATTAGAGAAACAGCTGAACTTCTTATTTCACATGATGCAAATATCAATGAAAAAGATAGTGTTGGAAAAACTGCTCTTCATAGTGCAGCATATAATAATAGTAGAGAAACAGCTGAACTTCTTATTTCACACGGTGTAAATATCAATGAAAAAGATAATGATGGAGAAACCGCTCTTCATGATGCAGCATATGGTAATAGTAGAGAAGCAGCTGAACTTCTTATTTCACATGGTATAAATATCGATGAAAAAAATAATGATGGAAGAACCGCTCTTCATTATGCAGCAGAAAAAAATATTAGAGAAACAGCTGAACTTCTTATTTCACATGGTGCAAAGAATATAGTTCCTTATATAATACCTCGCTTTCATTTCTAAGATGAATTTTATTAGAAGTAAAAAAATGTTTAGCTTTTCGTACTGCTCCTAATCGTAAAAATGATTTTTATTACTTTTCCATACTTTTATACTTTCATCAAGAATTCCAAATTAGGTCAAAAATTGAAAACTGTTTCACTCATTCAATATTGTTGCAAGGTGAAGAGGTGTTTGTATGAGAAATTCGGGAGATTGATATTTGCACCATTCAAAATAAGAAGTTATACCATTTCTTTTTGAGCAAAGTTCACTGCCCAATTGACTTTTGCACCGTGCGAAAGAAGCAGTTCTACTGTTTCTTTATTATTATATTTTGCTGCATTATTAAGAGATGTGACTTCCGAATTATCATATTCGTTGACTTTTGCACCATATGAAAGAAGAATTTCTGTGGTTTCTTTATTATTATATTCTGCGACATAATGAAGAGTTGTTTTTTCCTTTTTATCTTTTTCGTTGATTTTTGCATGATTTGAAAGAAGCAGCTCTACTGTTTCTTGATTATTAAATTCTGCAGCATAATGAAGAGTTGTTTTTTCCTTTTTATCTTTTTCGTTGATTTTTGCATGATTTGAAAGAAGCAGCTCTACTGTTTCTTGATTATTAAATTCTGCAGCATAATGAAGAGTTGTTTTTTCCTTTTTATCTTTTTCGTTGATTTTTGCATGATTTGAAAGAAGAAGTGCTGCTGTTTCTTTATTATTATATTTTGCTGCATTATGAAGAGCGGCTAATCCGTAATTATCTTTGTCATTGAATTTATGCCAAATACTGACGAATAAACAAAACATTTCTTTAAATCATTTGTTTGATCGAAATAAACTAAAAATGATCCACGATTTCTATTTTCTCCACATGCAAATATAATTGTCATTCATTATGCATTTTTTTAATAAAATTTTTGCATTTTATCTTCTGAGCATTCAAAATTGTGAGGACGAATTGAATAGGTGCAAATAAATCAATTTTTATATGGTACTCATTCATCATATATGTAACAAAATCAATGTTGCGTGAAATAATTGCATATTTCCTGCATTCTTCATTTGGAGTTTAATATTTCAAGCATTCACTCATGATCTCTTGATTTCTTCCTAAAAATGAAAATTATAAACATATTTGAGTGATTTCTGAATTAATTTTCGTTCTTAATAACTTGAAACAATCAAGTTTTAAAATTAAGGTTAGTTTTTATGAGGGTCTTCTATCGTCTATGAAGCACCCTGAATTGAAAAGGGAAAAAATTGAAGTATTTTTTTTGAGGAGATAATTTAGCAAGTTCATGTTTTTATTACCTAAAAATTGGTTTATGACAAAAAAAAGGGGTTGTACATGTTCATGTCGTCAAATACCTCATTATAACTTACAACAAGATATACCGTATACAGAAGAAGATTTGTTCAGAGATGTTTATTGCATTCGTCAATTCAGAAGAATTCAGAATTTTCCTGAAATTTGCAGAGAATTTGAAATAAATAAGAAAATAGTTCCCGATTGTAAAGAAGGGGATGATTTCGAGATTAAATACACGTTTCCAATAATACCATTCAGATGCGACAGTGAAAATGTTGATTTTCTCGTTGGATGTGACTATTATTTCATAGATAAGCAATATAATATAGGTTATCTTCAACTAGTTTACACATATGATGAATCTATCACACCAATGGTTAAACGTTTTTCACAAAGAAAAACTAAGTCTGAAAATTCTGTTGAGAGGAGAATGCTTAAAATTGCGAAAATGTTATTAGAACCAATCGAAAAGAGTATTTTTCCAAAATCTGTCGATTTAAATTGCGATATATCTAAATTTTTTGAGTATAAACAATTGCTTCTCGAAACGTTTGATATCGAAGAACATCTTCTACAGGGGGATCCTCATAAAGCTATATTTGAATTATCTATGACAAATGAACCTTATCATCTTTATTGCCCGATTTACAGATATTTTGCGAAGTTTTCAGAACCACCTTCTTTTATACCTAAGATTAACAATCCTGATAGAAATCAAGACAAAAACAATGATCAAAAACAGCAAAAGATTCAATCTCTAAAACAATTTGACGGAAAACCAGTCGAAATAGAAAGATACACTTATCAAAGTGGAACAAAATCAAATGATACTAAATATTCTAATATTAAAGAAGATTATGAATTTCAAGATTACAGTCTTTCTTACAATCCGATCCCAAAGAAAAAGTATGACTTCTTATTCGATGTTAAAAATGGAGAGCAGAAAAAATTTATAGATTCTGAAGGAGAATTTTATCAACCTGTGATTGCATTTCGAGGAGTTTTCAAAGATCGTGTCTTCTTTTTCTATGGAACAAGTCTCTTTGTTGTATCAAAGTATGGTGATATAAGTCCAGGATCACTCGTTATAATGCCCTATTGTTACTGCCCTTTATATAATTTTGACGGATTTCGCGATCCAATTGGTTGGCTTGAAAAGAAGATTGTTAAGGAGATGTTAAAGTACTTTTCAGAAGACAGTATTTATCAGAAGAATCCAGTTTTCTATGATGATTGGGCAGATGAAGGCTTACCATGTTATGGTATTGAATCTGCACATTTTTATCCAGATTGTTTCATTCCAATGGGGGATATTATACCGCAAAGCTATGAATATTAAATCCATATCATTTATTTTTTGAGAAATTTAAAAATTATTATTACATTTGTCTAATTTAGAGAGTTTGGAATGTTAAATTGCAATTTTATTCTTATTGCGGAACTTTGACACGAAAGTTTCAACAGTGTACTGTTGTTTATCACCGCATATCATTCTGGGAGACATTTATAGGCAATATCTCCTAGAAGGTAACATAGAAAGCTACAACAATGCATATGACACTCTTGTATTTCAAAGTCCCGCATTCATAACTTGAATGTGGAACGGTGGGCCATTCTGAGAGACATACACAGGAAATGCCTTCCAGAGTAGCATATGCCAACCAACACCGAGCCATGTTACACTCTCTCAATTCTAAAATTACACTATAAATACTTATTTCAATCTAATTCCAAGTGTGCTTTAATATTAAAATATTCCTATATTCAGATTAGAAATCAATTCAATATGGTTATTCGTAAAGACTGTTGTATTCATAAATCGGATGGCTCATTTATCAATTCCATGAATTTGGAAAAACAGTAAAAAGTGTGAAATTTTCAACACGATTTAGATCGTGGGTGTAGTCTTCAATATGTATTGGATCTTCGGAATTAAATCTGAGAACTTGCAAATTTGAATTTTTGAACAAATTTGACCGAAATTCCACATTCACAAAGTTTCACAATTTTGAATTTGGTAGAAAATTTCTTCAATTTTAAAAATCATTGAATAATATTAAACATGCAATTTTAAAGATATGACCACTAATTGGCAAAATTTTAAAATTCCTGAAAAAATGAAAATCATTTTTTAAAAATGGGAAGACAGAAATCTGTTTACGAAACAGATCGTGACAAGCAGCTCAAAGCATTTCAGGATGTCACAAAAAAGCTTGAAGCAATTGCCGCAGGCAACAAAAAATATGCCGAACTTTTAGGTATGGTTTACAGTGTCCTTTTGGATGATAAGTCACAAGTTGGTAATCCAGAAGATGAAACTGCAGTTCTTAAACTTTTCGAGGGTTTAGGAATTAGCGAAAAAATTAAAATGCAACAAATTCGACAGCTGGCGACCGCAATTTCTCAAAGGTCCGGCATCCCTTACACAAATCTTCTTAAGAAGAAGGCAACCCTTTTCAGATGGTATTCAATATTTTGGCCAGAAATCAAAGACTATGTAATACCAGTTTACAATGAAGTAATTAAGACGCATCCATAGGATGAAAGTGAAAGTAGATTAATTTACAAATTTCCTAAATTTAATTTTTATTTTGTTTCCTTAAATACATTATTGCAAAATACAAGCATCTTGACATATTTTTATGAGAATATATTACTATAGTTCAATGAATAAAAAAAAATCAAAAGATTTTGTATTTACCAAAATTTCTTTATTTACTCAGAAATTGCTTATTTCCAAATTGTTCAAACTTGTTTGGAAAAGAAAAACTATCATATATACGATTATTTTTGATTCAAATGCTGTTCGGCATTAGAATCAAAAATAATCATTAGTATGATGATTACACTTTTATTGCATTTTTAGCAGGCTTCGCGTCTTTATAAAAACGCAATAAAAGTGTAAATTTGTTAACAAAAAAAATTCCACAATTGAAATTTACCATCATATTGAATTTGGAAATAAATTCAGCCTTAAAGACAAAATCATCACATATGAGATTAAAATACGGATTTGATTGAACAAAATTTCAAAACGATATGAGCTTTTATCATTATCGTTTCACATGTTAAAATCTTATTATATCCTGATATTGTTTTGATATCATTCAAAGCAGTTGCTCTTATTCTTTAGGAAAATTTACTATTCCCAAATTCTTGGGTCCAAAATTGAATAATTTGCTCACAATTTCCGAGATATTGAAACTACAATAAGATACAAAAGGTAAAAACTATCATCTCAATTGAGATTATCATATTTCATTATAAAAGAGATTTTGTAATAAAAAAAATTATCATTATTTATTCAAAAAGCAAAATATATAAAAAGAAAAAAAAACTAAAATAAAAAAATATATATTAATATTAAAGCGCACTTGGAGATGAATTTGAAGGAGTTAAGATCATCTTGTAACTCTCCAATATCTTATCAGATGTTTCATTACCAGACTTCTTTCTGTCTGTGTTATTCAACTTACTCAAATCATTCAAGACATTTGCAGCCTGGAACAAAGCATCCCAAACACTATTTGTCAATCCAATCAACTTCTTGTAATCCTCCTTGGACATGTCCTTCAAGTCATCTCCCACTTTATATCTGATATCTGTCTTGCATTTCCTTACGAAAGTGAGAGGAGCGAATTGATTTGTTGATGGGTTTTTATCCAATGTTTGTGCCATTAATCTCATCAACAACTTCGTGTTCAACCAAAGTGACCATTTCGTCCACATGTGTTCGAGTTTCTTTGGTGGCATGACTGCTCTAAATTCTTCGACTTGGATCATGATTTCTTCTGTGTATTCCTTCAAATACATCATGTAGTACTGTTTCCTTGTGATTTTTGATGTCGTGTGCTGAACGATTTCGACATTAGAAACCATTCCTGGCAAGTAAGATAATATGATTTCATCTGTCTTCTTTTGTCTCTTGCCTGTTACGAATTGATGTTTTACAACGAAAATGTCATCCCAACCTTTTTCTTCTTTCAAGACATCCAAAGTGAAATTGCAAACTCTTAAGTTTTCCATGTCATTCTTATCAACATTAACTCTAACGATCTGTGCGTAAGACTTGTTTTTCTCGAAAGGAATGTTATCATCTTCGATAAACAAAGGATCAGGAGAGCACCAAATTAATCCAGGATAAGCTTTCTCTAACATCTGTTTGAATTTCTCTTCACCGCCTTTTGGAAGGATTTGGATTGTGTTCTTTCTCTTTAAATCATTTTTGATTGTACCTCTAAAAGACACCAAATAGAAATAGTGCTTTTGAGAATCACCTTTCTCAAGATCAGTGTATAAAGTACCATAAGAATTAGCAATTCTCGTGTAAATGTCAACCAAATCATCAAACATTCTGTGGTTTTCGAGATAAGCAAGCAAATACTCAGTGATTTGGCCAATGCACCAATTCAAATTTGCTTGTTGAGATAATTCCATTGCTTTTTGTAATTCTTCACACATTGATTGTTCAGTGAACATGTCTCCTTCTAATAAAAGATATTCGGAACTCTGGAGCTGGTTTGTTGTTCCGTTGTTGTATTTGAGATCTCCTGAATCTTCGATGAATGGGAAGTCTTGAGCTCCTCCAGTAGGAATTCCATCAACAACTTGGTTGCGGAGTTTGAAGACATTTGCAATTAATGCGCAAATCTTCCATTGGCAGAGGAATGCGGCCAAATAATCACCGTTTTCTTCATTGATCTTTTCTATCTGTTTGCAAACCATGTACAAAGCTCCTTGTACATTTTCTACGTATGTAAAGTTATGAATCAAGTTCTCAACATTCTTGAAATAGACTTTTGATTCTTTCCAAGCGTTCTTGAGATTAGGAATCATGTCATTGATAATTCCGAAATCTTTGGAAACATCTGTACCTTTGAATTCGAAATCAGTATTTTCGAAAAGTGATTTGATACATGCGAATATCAAACCAATGAAACACCTCACAGATCTCTTCTTTGACTTGTCTGTGCATAACTCTATGTTCACGAGCCATCTCAAGAAAGCCATAGCAGTGATTCTTGCCATTGCAACTTTCCTTTGAGTGACGGAAACAACGGAACAAAGGATAGACAAAATATGATTAGTTTTGTCAATGAAAATTGTTTGTGAAAACTTGTTCACGACGAAAGCGAAAGACTTGAAGACCATTGGGAATGCTTCTGAGTCTTGTGTTGGAGATAACATGTGCATAATGATCTTGAAGATGGAAATAAGTTGTCTATCCTTAGCAATGATGTCGATTTTGTCAATGAAATGCAAGAAAACTAATAATCGACATGTAACTTCAAGAGAAACAGACAATTTGATGGAATTCAAAGGAGAACTGAGTTGTGAATCATTTTCAATAACAACATGCTTCGATAATTCTTCAATTAATGATTCTTCTGACAAATTCGCGAGGAAATCAAAGAACCTTAATTTGTTATCATCAGACAAAAGATCGAAATATCTCGTGAACTGTCCTGATTTCACGTTCTTGCAGATGTTAAGAATGAACGGTACTAATACTGGATCATTTCCAAGATGTGGCGCAAGGGAATCCGCAAAAGTGAAAATCAGTGTCAAAAGAGGGAAGAAATACATGGCAATGCGTTTCGATGTCGATGAATCAGAGTACATCTCAATGGAAACACCTAAAAGACCTATAGCCTTGAAGGCAGGGTCAATCGCTTGCTTGTTGTTGGCAAGAAATGTCTCTCTGACAGTCGAATAGAACAAACTCAACAATGGAATGTATGGTGACATGTCGAGATGTTCCTTTGGAGGTTTGACGGCTTGGAAAATGGCGTAGATGAAAGAAGCGTCGGAGAAGAAGATCTGGAAGACTTCTAGACGTTCTTGTGTCTTCAAGGCGAAAATGAATCTCCTGGCAAGCGCCATGACCATGTCTGGAGCAAATCCCATTCGTAGTTGGCGAATAAACTCTCCTGCAGCGCGTTTGACAACAATTGGAACGTTTTCGGCGGATGTGGCGTTGAGGAGGTCTTGCAGTTCATCCCAGCAGAATTGGTGATTGGCAATCATGCCTTTGAGACCAACAAGGAAGAAAGGAAGTGGAATTGGAGAAATTTCAAGAATATTTTCTTTCAATTTCTTGAGATAAATCGATGGGAAAGTGTCCGGACATGAGAATGAGTGCTCAATCCATTTGTACAACCAGTCGGAATTGCAGTTTTGTATGCGTTCGGCTAATAAACTGAAATCCACTTGAGGAAGAATGACAGGATCGAAGCAGTATTGAAGCATGTACTGAGCAACTGTCTGCCACATAGGATGTTTGTAGTCTGGACCGGCTGCCTGCTCGAGATCTCCAGATGAGCGTGAGCCTGATCCGGAGAGGGCAGTGTCGGCTATGGACTTCTTAGGTGGAGCAATGAGAGAGAAAATGAGCTTCTTAGGTGGTGCAACGATTGTCGGGAAAATATAAGAGATGGAAATGGTTCCGGAGCTGCCAGAAAATAGGGAATGGCCTTTAAGCTTGCATTGGCCCGACCATATTGGGTCAACGATCGGGATTGTAGCATCGGCAATCAATTTCGTTTTTCCGGACTCAAGAGTGTAAAGTTCGGCCACGATTTCGAGTGGCATTGAATGTTCGTAGCTCGTATTGAGTTTGAAATTGCACATTCCTGGGAAATGCATTCCTTCGACAGCGTTAAGTGTTTGAGTTCTGCAGCTTTCTATTTCTTGAGTCATGTTTGGTTTGGCTGCTGCTTTGAGAAATTTCGAATTTTCTTCGTGTGTCTTTAATATGAAATTACAGAACATTTGGGAGCCTTTTTGTATGGCATCGGGTGATGGATTGACCTTAATTGAGTGGATAGTAAGTAATGGCGATGGATACATTGGCTGGAATGATGTAATTCTGGCTGGTAAATTTTCAGTCGGCGGATTCTCATCATTGTCGTGATCAAAGACTAAATTGAACATCGGATACTTCTTCTCACTCTTGAAGAAGTCTTCCATTGGCGTGGATGGATTGAAAACAACCCAATCTAAACTAAATTGACCATCTGTGATTTCCGAAATAAGTCTGTGGCCAATAGCAATTGGTTTCTCAACTGAGTCTTTATCGACAGTGTCCACGTATGAAAGGATTGCGACAATTCGTGACTCGGGATTATCAACGTATGGGATGTAAAAATCGTTATGATTGAATCCAAAAGTAGTGCATTCGGGAGTTCCATGCGAAAAATCAATCCTAACTGGTTCCGATGTAGGGAATTTTAAGTAAGAGAACAATTCTAAGATAGATGACTGTCCAACACCGGTTTTGCCGACTAATTGATATTTATTAATGTGCATTAATTTAATGGTTTCATAATTTTCGGAAATTTTATATTGTTTGTTTGCAATAATGTGATAATATTCTGAATCAATTAAAGGAATGGAAACATATTTGCCTTCATATGACCCACGCTCTAGATCCTTTTGGAAGCTTTGAACAGTGAGTGTTGCAGCACTATCCGGTTGCTTTTCTGTTAATAAATTCTCACTGATTCGGTTAGCTGCAACAGCTTGATTTGGTTGAATTTTCTGTGGAGGGCAATATGAGCATGTTGTGTCCTTAACTATAGGCTTAATCCACGACAAATCATTTAACTCACGATCTGTCAAATACAGAAAGCGTGATTGATTCGATATAGTAGTAGTATTAATAGTTGTGGTAGCAAGCAAGTTATCTATATTCAAAGTCTCTCTCTGATTCTTTTCTTCCTTCAGTCTGTATTGCATGAGAGAGTTTTTTTCTGATGTCACTTTTTAATTTCACGTATTTTATATTGAGCTGTGATTTTGAGCGTTTTACACTTCGGATGTTAATATTAACTAGTCAATCAAAAGTTCGATATTTCAAAGTCTTGGATGAAATTTATCAAATTCAAAACATCTACAAAGAACACGTTTTTCCAGTGGGGAACCTTAAGTTGTAATATGGTAAATCGATCGCAATTACTGAAATGGCATTGTAATGAGATCATTGATTATCCACAATTTTTATTGCTACCAAACTCAATTAAATTGTAATAATACACTATGCTTATCAAATAAATCAGATTTATTAGTTACTCATACCAAAATTTATTGATGGCAATTTTACGACATTGGAAAAACAGTTAATCCGACATCCTTTTGGATTAAATATGAATATCTGAAGTTATTAGAATATGTTTTTCCATATAAGTAAGTCCCAATTTCGATTGATGATAAATTCTGAATATAGCTGAACCATTTATACTAGAATTGAAGAACCTTTACTATAGTACAGGTAATTTCATTCGTTCAGAATTCAATCCATACTATACATTATATATACTCTCACAAGAATAATCATGATATGAAAAGATTTTTAAATATATTGTTTTATTTTATAAATTTTTTGAATACTAACAGAGTTTATGCAATAACAGTATGTTTGAGAAAAGATAACTTCAAATATTATACATATAAAAAATTATTCCCATAATCTATTCATTTGGATTGAATCACGAAGTCTATTTACGCCAGCTGATTTCTGTTTTGTCATGCTGCGCACAGTGAAGTCTTGCTGTTGTAACCTTTTATTAAATTTTTCAATGGATTCGGTAGTTGGTGGTTCGACTTCTTTTGCTTCATTATATTCATCGCAAACATTGAACATTGAGCATCTAATTTCTTGGACTTGTGTTTGCATCTCATCAAATTCTTCATCAAGAAGTGCTCTTACATCATCAATGCTATTGCTCACATCTGTTACACTTCTTGAAGCCCTAAGTGAAGATGTTGGACGAGAAGTAGAAATAGGAGAACTACTATTTGGCCTATCTGACCTAGTTACCTTAAGATACTTAACAATCTCCTTATCTACTGGATTATCTGTCTCAATAAAATGTCCTGCTTCCTTTAATGAATCTAAAAAGTGGATACATTTTTGAATTGCCGTAGTTCTTTGTGCGGAAACTAATATACTTGGTGTCTTTTTAGCAATTTCTTCTGTTAGTTTGTTTTGCATTGTATTATATAGCTTTCGTAATGTTGATAATTCGTTATATATCTCTTCATTTCGATTTATTCGAGCAATACCAATTCGCTTAGCATACATATCGATTTCTGGTGGAGAAATATGTTGCTTGAGGTCATCCCAGATAAGTCCTGAGACTTCCATAATTCAAATTTACTAACGTACAAAAAATCAAAAATCAGTAATTGTACGGAGAAAGTGATTCTAACAATTAGCATAACAAAACAAGAAAATAACATTCAGAAATGACTAAAATTGACAAAATTTTGAGAAAGGATTTTGTTTATCAATTCATCCTCTTACAAAACCCTCTCATTCTCATCTCAATTATCACGGTGACATACTTACTCACAGCAGATACCCTTAATATCAAGCAATATTGTAATTTTTCCAAAGGAAAACAAAGTTCGATATTTTTTGGGATCATTACTATTCCGAATTCAGATAGAAGACAGTACATGTGGAAGTTTTGGATCGAGAAACTACTTTCTACCACTCAGCACCAAGTTAAATACATAACCAAACCAATAATTGATTTACCAGAACTTTCACTTTTACCTGACCACAAGTGGGAAAAATATGAGTTCAATGTTGATCGCGATAGAGTTGTTAAAAGACTTACAGCAGCCGAATATTTTCTAAAAAACACGACTTTAGATTGGTATTGGACCTTGACTGATGATGTCTTTATAGATTTAAATGAGCTTGATGATTTGACTAGTGAACTCGACAAAAAGTACGACACAAACAAAGACTACGTAATGCAAGGCAACCTGTTATTCGAAGAGAGTTTCTACCTCCAGGGAGGTGTTGGATATATCATGTCAAGAAAAGCCGTCCAACATTTTCTTTCAATCGGCTTTCAATACCTTGAAATGTGTATATGGAATGATGACATGTACGGTTCGTATATATATGAGACTATGAATATTCCTGATGATCAAATTACAAATCCAAGATTAATTGGTGAACCAGTTCACAAGAATAAGCTTTTATTATTGAAAATTTATAGTAACCATAAGAAATTCCCTATCTGTCCTAAGCAAACTCCAAAGTTTGGTGGATATAACGGAACATATCCAATTAAAATGATAACAGCCGTTCATCATAATGATATTAGATATAGCAGAAGGTTTTGGATTCAACTGTTAAAAGCAAAAGAAGCCAATCATAATATTAGATACTATTTTGAAGAAAAACATATAACTAATTTTTGTATTGAGGATTAACTGATTTGTTTATTATATTATTATAGAGTAAATAGTGTGTTTGATGTATTATTTCTTTTAAAATATGTTAATATATTTAATCTGAATTAAAAGCAGGGAAATTACTAGGGAATCGATTATTTCAGAATGAGCAATCTTTTAAAAAGTAGAATATGTAGAAGTTTTCCACATTACTGCATCAAAAACTCAAAAAAATAAAAAATAAAATCAGAGATATATTATGGAATTTGTTGTGCTTAGGATATTTCAAATAAATAAGAACTGTTAATAGAATTTTAGAAATTTTATTAATATTTAGAGAACTCGAAACTTCGAACAAAAATATGCCGAAAATTATTTAATATTTTTATTGCTTGTGTTGGGTAGCTTGTATTTTCTGGTTTGCAACTTGAACAACCATCTGGTATTGCTGCTGTTTTTCTTTAAATGAATTTTTGAGATTTTCTTGCTGTGCATTTAATCTCTTTAATCTACGATTGAAGAAAGCTTCTGCTTTTTCTACACTTGTTTCGGCAAAGTAGCCTGTACCAAGTTCAATAATTGGTCTCTTTTGTGATGAAACTATTCCTGTCACATAAAGGCTTTCTGTAATTGGAACGAGCATTGTTCGTCCTGTTTCAACAGCTGTAAACTGCTTTAATTCAGCCTTAGCTTGTTGTGTCTTAAGAACTGTTTCATTTGTGAGTGAAATTGTTGCTTGTAATTGTGTAAGTTCTTCCTCAAATTGCTTCTTGAGGTTCATAATCTGTTGGATGTTAAGAGATGTAGCTGGGACGCCTTGGTCTGCTTTAGCTGACATAGAAATGTAAAAAAGAACAAAAAGTGGACGTTTAAATTTTAGTAATGGACTTTTCTATATCCTTGAAGAAACTAATGAATCGGTACATGATTATTTTTTAGATGTTTCTGATGAGGATTTTCATATGTATTCATTAAAATCAAATCTAATTTAGATCTAAAAAAAGGATTAAAGGCTGAACAGAATAATTATTAGGTAAGACTTTGCGCACAAAACCATATACCTCCATTCTTCATCTATGAAAACCTATGATTTCAATTGGATAAGATCTTTGAATTTAAGATATTTATGATTTTTATAACAAATTGTAATCAGTACTGTATTTACCGATTATTCTCCTGTGAAAGAACCCAAAAATTTTGTGACAACATAAAAAAAATGTACAATTTTGAAAATTCAAAATTATCATGAGTAACGAAAAAATAGAGCCCTCTACAATGAATTATGTCTTCGACATGTTCGGAAAGAGTGTTTCTCAGATGCTTCAGAGTTCTGTTACTCAACAAACAATGATTGATGAACTTAGAGCTCAAATTCGATCATTACAAACACAAGTTACAAACGTATGCAACAGTTTTCAAGATTTTGAAGATAGATTATACATTAAAGTGCAAGAAATGCGCCCAACAATCTACACACGCGATGGAATTCCGATAGATGATGCACTTGAAATGATGCAAAACAAAATAAATCAGTGCACTGATAAGGTTCAACAACAAAATGAAACACTTGATCGTTTTGATATTGATTTAAAGCAAAAAATCGATCAAGATGCATTCGAATCGCAATTTCGAGATGCTAAAAACGCAATTGACAGTTACTCAGAGATTACTCAGACTATTCAAACTCTACAAAAAGATTTTCAGAAGCAAAGAGACGATATGGATTCGTTAACGGAGCATGCGATGCAAATGGTACAACTCAAAATCGAACAATTCTCTAATAACAAGACTCCTCTTGGTGAAGCAGATGTTCTCGATGCAAATGATGAGTATGCTAAGAAATCTTACGTTGATCAACAAATTAAACTCGTAGCATCAAATCCATTTGGACTTCCAGATATGTCATCATTTACTCCATCAGGAGATAACATTCAAGACCAATTTACTTTATTACAAATGCAACAAGAGCAACTTGAAAAAGCATATCAAGCTCAAAAAGCAAAATTAGGACAGAATTACGATCAGTTATACAGCAAATTAGATGAAGAAGAGGATGAAGATTTCGAAGATGACAGCAAAGAAGAAATTTTTGTTGATGATTTCGATCTTGGCGACGATTTCATTTTCGAAGACTCTGAACCGGAGAAAGAGATTGAATTCCGTTCTATTTCCATTGATAATGATGGAAATATCGATGACGAATCAACCTATACAGATAAAAAGCACTCAACAGGTTCAAGAAGAAATGTTGGTGTTCAAGCTCAAATTCAAGCTAAAAAGACGGCCAGAAGTCATCTCAGAGAACAGATTAAAGCCAAGAAAGCACAAACAGAAGCTCCTTCAGCAGCCACAACTAAGGAAGTCTCTGGAGGTGGAGCAACTTTGTCTTCAGCCGATGAACAAAAGATCCAGAATTCCATTGTTAACTCCATCATGACTAAAGTTGAGAACATGTTAATTGACTTCTTCTCGATGCAGAGTGGACTTAAGCTAGAGAAGAATGATGCCAAAGTACTTATTAACCAATTATCTGTTGTCCAGAAGTTGAAAGATGAATACAAGAAACTCAAATTGTTGTTACAAGGTAAAATGGACAGTTTGAAATGCAACCAAGAGCTGGAAATAAGAGTCACAAGGCAAGATTTCTTCAGTTACTTGACACAGATATTCCCCAATAACCAATTACTTCAGAAAGTCATGCAATCGTCAGTTAAAACTACCTTGCCAACTCTCAAGAAAGAATCGCCAAGATCAAGGCCGAAGACTTCTATTGATGATAAAGATGAAATCAGAGTTAGAGCTAAAACAGCGAAAACTCAGAGTTCTACACAACAACAGAACTTAGTTCCTGCAAGGAATTCAAGACTATTGGCTCTCAACCAGAAGTTCTTGAGAGGTGCTGATGGTAGATATTACTTGAGAGATTTAGGTGGCGAACAAAGTGGAATAACTACACCAAATATTACTGGACAAACTAAGACAGGAATGAATCCTGAAAACGCAATGGATTTCCAACCATTCGTTCCTGATACTCATGTTAAAACAGATACAAATGAAAGAGCAATGACTGCTATGTCATCAAAGCATAGATCTAAGACTCCTACTGATTCTACAGAATAAATTATTTTTGTGTTGATTTTTTATTGTATATAATTAAAAATGATATTTAATAATGTTAATAGCTTAATCAATATGAAGAAGTATAACTATATATGTTTATAGTGGAAAAAAGACTTATCAAGCAATTGTGGATTGAGAATGGACAAGAAAGTAGTAATTTGGCCCTCATAAAATTGAGAGGATCTCATTGTGGAAAAAATAATGAATTGGAGACAAATTATGTGAGAAAAAAAAGTGCAAAAAATTTAATGACTATGTGTTTGTATTCATTCTAACAATGACTATTGTGTACTTGATGAGTTAGCATTTTATTATAAGATCTCTCAAGTTAAGCATCTGATAGTCGACTATAATTATACCCTAAGTATTAGTCCTTTCCTGATACTAGAAATAATGAAGGTAAACTTAATTTTTTTAATTGAAAAATTAGCGCCTTCTAAGACAGTTCTGCAAGCCAGAAGCCCAACATATATGCAACCTAGCTGCTGGTGGTCAGGGATATAAATTTACTCGAATAAGCTAATGTTCCTTCTGAAGTTTCTCATTGAATTAGAAACTTTATAAGGACTTTGCTCTAAAGTACTCTTAATTCTCTTCTTTGGCTTGCAGAGGGCTTATAGTTCTGTAATTTGAGGAATAATTCAAACAAAATATTATTCAAAAACATTACTAGAGATAAGGATGTCGTTTTATAATAGATTATAAAAATAAATGTATTTAGCAAAAGTTTTACATTATGAGCACATCCATAAGAAAATTTTTGGAAAAAAAAAAGAAAAAAAAAAGAAAGTCATTGACATCTTATCAAAATATCAATAAATTTTAATTGTAATACGTTCTGAGAGAAATTGAAGAGATTAACACTAACAGAGTTTGGATTAACTACACAACTCAGCTATATTCGAATAAAAGTACATTCTCTGATCTCTTGGAGGTAGATATGGTATAAGTTATGGCAGATTGTTTAAGTTTGAAAGAATAATCAAAGATTAACAAAACTGAAAATTCAGAGAAATGTATAGAATCAGTGGGGAAAATTGAATTATTTTTAGTCCTAATCAAATCAATCTTCGAAATTTCCAGAAAAATAAAAAATATTATCTTATGTAAGAACATTATTCTTTGGCACCATGTGAAATAAGGACTTCGGCAGTTTCGTTACTATTTTTATATACTGCATCATGAAGTGCTGTTCTTCCATATTTATCCTTTTCATTGACATTCGCACCAAGTGAAATAAGGACTTCGGCAGTTTCTTTATTATTATTCCATGCTGCATCATGAAGTGCGGTTTTTCCATCTTGATCCTTTTCATTGACATTCGCACCAAGTGAAATAAGGATTTCGACAGTTTCTTTACTATTATTCCATGCTGCATCATGAAGTGCTGTTCTTCCATATTTATCCTTTTCATTGACATTCGCACCAAGTGAAATAAGGACTTCGGCAGTTTCTTTATTATTATTCTATGCTGCATCATGAAGTGCGGTTTTTCCATCTTGATCCTTTTCATTGACATTCGCACCAAGTGAAATAAGGACTTCGACAGTTTCTTTATTATTTTTAGATGCCGCAATATGAAGTGCGGTTTTTCCATCTTGATCCTTTTCATTGACATTCGCACCATGTGAAAAGAAGTATTCGATAAGGGATCGAATATTAAAAATAGGTGAATAAACAAAGCATTTGTTTATATCATTAGTTTGATCGAAATAAACTAAAAAGGATTCGAGATTTTTGTTTTTTCCGCAAGAATATAAATCAATCTTAAAATTGTGTTCATTCATCAAAAATGTTACAAAATCAATGTTGTGTGAAATAATTGCACATTTCATGCATTTTTCATTTGGTTTTTGATATTTCAAACATTCACTCATGATCTCTGCATTTCCTCCAAAAAATGAAAACTCTAGACATTCTTCGGTTATTTCTGAGCTGCATTTAGTTCTTAATAACTTGAAACAATCAACTGCTCCATGGTAACAACATATTTCAAGTAATGAATATCCTTCGTCAGTTTCTGGATATAAACTGCTTTCAAGTTTTTGATCTTTATCAAATCCATCTCTTTCCGTGAATGTGATGAATCTTTCTAAGTCATTATTCATAATTGCTCTGTATATTGTATTTTCTGTATGAACATCAAGATTTTTAATATCATCTTTTCCGAAATCAGAAGATTTATTTAATTTAAACCCATATTCTTTATAAAACAGGAAGTTTGAAATATTAGGGATTTCATTGACTTCTTCCACATGATATTCATCAATAAACAGTTTGGCAAGAAATAAATATGACTTTGTATAGCGATTGTTATACGGAATGATTTGTAAAATGTCTTTTATAATATCTTTGGGTGGATATTTATTGGAATCAATCAATTCTGTTTTGATCATTTCGTAAATTGACTTTAATTCTTCTTCTTTTTCTGTTTTCAACTGATACAACGCGTTGTATATGTCGATATAATATTTGTGCGCGTTTCTTAGTTCAATGTATTTGTTTGAATGAATGTCTTGGTTGGACATTAAAAATTTTTAAGGCTTCTTTCCGACCAAACGGTCTGTGTCGTCTTTCATATCATATTTCTTTACTTCGAAGTAAAGAAAAATTTCATAAAAATACAACTTGAGTTCTTTTAAATGCTCATATGTAAGGCATTATTACCTCATAGTATGAAGTCCGGAAATGCCGTTTTTGTTCAATCTTGAGTTGAATAATCTAAAATTTTATCACAAACATTGTGTTCGGACTGCATTCTATGCAAACAAATAGAATGTTATCATGATCTCCTATAATGTGGTAAGAACATTTGTCCGTAGAATCATCTCAGTCAATGAGATGAAGATTTAAGATCTCACCATATAACTATGCTTTCTGGTTTATTAAAGTAATTTAAAAAGGGATGACTAATCAAACAATTGCAGTATAGATTTCTAATTTCTAATTTCGATTTTTGATTTTTCAGAAGTTTTGTAAAGTTACGACATTTAAAAAAATGAGCCAAGATCTTGCTCTAAATTTCGAATATATTGCTGCTCACATTAATGATTATATTCAAAATGAAAATTTCTTTTAGACATTCGATCTAGAAGACATTATAACAATAATGAAATATTCAAAATTAACACCAAAACAGTTCAATTCTCTTCTTAAACAGTCATCATCAACTATTAATGCCAGCAAATTATATGTCTGTACACGAAATGCGAATGTTACTGTCCAAAGCATCAATGATGTTGTATCAGTTCTGAAATCAGTTAAAACATACATGAAATTCAAAATATTTGATGGTGTCATTGATTTTTTATTACAAAATGATAAGGAAAGATGCGAAAGTGCAGAAGAAAATAAAAAGCTTCGAGAACAAATTCAAAAGCTTCAAGAACAAATTCAAGATTTGAAATTTCAAAAGAATCGAAAATTTTTAACTAAAATCACAGAACTTAAGATATCTAATGATTTTGATAGTGTTTACAAACTCTTCGGAAAAATTTCTGCAGAAGACAATCAAGAAATGATGTCAAAAGCTTGTGAAGAAGGACTTTGGAAAAAGACAACAGAGAATAGAAAGAATGTACTTCATGTTGCATGTGAAAAGGGAAATCTTCAGCTTGTCAAATTACTTATCGAATGTGGCTGTAACAAAGAAACAATAGATGAATATGGAAATACTCCTCTCATTTATGCATCATGGAATAATCAACTTGAAGTTGTTAAATATCTTATCTCTGCAGGAGCTAATAAAGAAGCAAAGAATAACGATGGGAAAACTCCTTTAATTTATGCATCATTATACGATTATCTCAATATTGTTAAATATCTTGTCTCTGATGGTGCTAATAAAGATGTAAAGAATAATGATGGAAAAACTCCCATAATTTATGCATCATTATACGGCTATCTTGATGTTGTTAAATATCTTATCTCTGATGGAGCAAATAAAGAAACAAAGAATAATGAAGGAAATACACCACTCATTTATGCATCATGGAATAATCATCTTGAAGTTGTAAAATATCTTATCTCTGTTGGAGTTAATAAAGCTGCAAAAGATAATGAAGGAAAAACTGCACTATCGCATGCAAAAGGTAAAGTAAGAGATTATCTAAAATCTATTGGAGCCAAGTAATTTAATCAGATAATTTAAAGCAAAATGCTACATTCAACACCGAAAAATTTTAAAATGTTTTATAAAAACATCAGATTTCAAAAGTATAATTCTTTTTTAATATAGACTGGAAATTATTACCACTTGACTTCAATTAATAATTAGTAGCAACTGTTAAATAGTAATGCAATAATTCATGGTAACAGAACTATAGCGTTTCTTTAAATTTTTTTGTTTTAGTGGTGTGATCGTTATGATATGAACAATTATGGAAAGTAAACACTCAAAAAATGGTAATAAAGTGTATATCAATGCCATATTCATTACGGATATCATAACTATACTTCAAATATACATTTATAAATTCTTTTTCGTGTCATTATTCCTAACTAATGACTTTTTCTCATTATTTAATTAAATGATAAATTGCAATATTATTATTAAATTTCTTTTGAACTATTCGACTCAATTTATTCTGCATTATGAATGAAATTTTTATTCTATTCAAAGTAATAACATTTGATGTCATTTATTCAAACAAACTCAGTAAATGAGATGAAGAAATATGATCTCATTCAATAACTATATTATTTGGTTTGTTCTTTCAGAATGGATAACAATGCAAACAAGTGCATTTTGATTTTTGTTTTTTCAGATATTTTGTAAAGTCACGACATTTGAAAAATGAGTCGAGGTCTTACTCTGAATTTCGAATATATTGCTGCACACATCAATGATTATATTCAAAATGAAAATTTCTTTTAGACATTCGATCTAGAAGACATTATAACAATAATGAAATATTCAAAATTAACACCAAAACAGTTCAATTCTCTTCTTAAACAGTCATCATCAACTATTAATGCCAGCAAATTATATGTCTGTACACGAAATGCGAATGTTACTGTCCAAAGCATCAATGATGTTGTATCAGTTCTGAAATCAGTTAAAACATACATGAAATTCAAAATATTTGATGGTGTCATTGATTTTTTATTACAAAATGATAAGGAAAGATGCGAAAGTGCAGAAGAAAATAAAAAGCTTCGAGAACAAATTCAAAAGCTTCAAGAACAAATTCAAGATTTGAAATTTCAAAAGAATCGAAAATTTTTAACTAAAATCACAGAACTTAAGATATCTAATGATTTTGATAGTGTTTACAAACTCTTCGGAAAAATTTCTGCAGAAGACAATCAAGAAATGATGTCAAAAGCTTGTGAAGAAGGACTTTGGAAAAAGACAACAGAGAATAGAAAGAATGTACTTCATGTTGCATGTGAAAAGGGAAATCTTCAGCTTGTCAAATTACTTATCGAATGTGGCTGTAACAAAGAAACAATAGATGAATATGGAAATACTCCTCTCATTTATGCATCATGGAATAATCAACTTGAAGTTGTTAAATATCTTATCTCTGCAGGAGCTAATAAAGAAGCAAAGAATAACGATGGGAAAACTCCTTTAATTTATGCATCATTATACGATTATCTCAATATTGTTAAATATCTTGTCTCTGATGGTGCTAATAAAGATGTAAAGAATAATGATGGAAAAACTCCCATAATTTATGCATCATTATACGGCTATCTTGATGTTTGTTAAATATCTTATCTCTGATGGAGCAAATAAAGAAACAAAGAATAATGAAGGAAATACACCACTCATTTATGCATCATGGAATAATCATCTTGAAGTTGTAAAATATCTTATCTCTGTTGGAGTTAATAAAGCTGCAAAAGATAATGAAGGAAAAACTGCACTATCGCATGCAAAAGGTAAAGTAAGAGATTATCTAAAATCTATTGGAGCCAAGTAATTTAATCAGATAATTTAAAGCAAAATGCTACATTCAACACCGAAAAATTTTAAAATGTTTTATAAAAACATCAGATTTCAAAAGTATAATTCTTTTTTAATATAGACTGGAAATTATTACCACTTGACTTCAATTAATAATTAGTAGCAACTGTTAAATAGTAATGCAATAATTCATGGTAACAGAACTATAGCGTTTCTTTAAATTTTTTTGTTTAGTGGTGTGATCGTTATGATTATGAACAATTATGGAAAGTAAACACTCAAAAAATGGTAATAAAGTGTAATCAATGCCATATTCATTACGGATATCATAACTATACTTCAAATATACATTTATAAATTCTTTTTCGTGTCATTATTCCTAACTAATGACTTTTTTCTCATTATTTAATTAAATGATAAATTGCAATATTATTATTAATTTCTTTTGAACTATTCGACTCAATTTATTCTGCATTATGAATGAAATTTTTATTCTATTCAAAGTAATAACATTTGATGTCATTTATTCAAACAAACTCAGTAAATGAGATGAAGAATATGATCTCATTCAATAACTATATTATTTGGTTTGTTCTTTCAGAATGGATAACAATGCAAACAAGTGCATTTTGATTTTTGTTTTTTTCAGATATTTTGTAAAGTCACGACATTTGAAAAATGAGTCGAGGTCTTACTCTGAATTTCGAATATATTGCTGCACACATCAATGATTATATTCAAAATGAAAATTCTTTTAGACATTCGATCTAGAAGACATTATAACAATAATGAAATATTCAAAATTAACACCAAAACAGTTCAATTCTCTTCTTAAACAGTCATCATCAACTATTAATGCCAGCAAATTATATGTCTGTACACGAAATGCGAATGTTACTGTCCAAAGCATCAATGATGTTGTATCAGTTCTGAAATCAGTTAAAACATACATGAAATTCAAAATATTTGATGGTGTCATTGATTTTTTATTACAAAATGATAAGGAAAGATGCGAAAGTGCAGAAGAAAATAAAAAGCTTCGAGAACAAATTCAAAGCTTCAAGAACAAATTCAAGATTTGAAATTTCAAAAGAATCGAAAATTTTTAACTAAAATCACAGAACTTAAGATATCTAATGATTTTGATAGTGTTTACAAACTCTTCGGAAAAATTTCTGCAGAAGACAATCAAGAAAATGATGTCAAAAGCTTGTGAAGAAGGACTTTGGAAAAAGACAACAGAGAATAGAAAGAATGTACTTCATGTTGCATGTGAAAAGGGAAATCTTCAGCTTGTCAAATTACTTATCGAATGTGGCTGTAACAAAGAAACAATAGATGAATATGGAAATACTCCTCTCATTTATGCATCATGGAATAATCAACTTGAAGTTGTTAAATATCTTATCTCTGCAGGAGCTAATAAAGAAGCAAAGAATAACGATGGGAAAACTCCTTTAATTTATGCATCATTATACGATTATCTCAATATTGTTAAATATCTTGTCTCTGATGGTGCTAATAAAGATGTAAAGAATAATGATGGAAAAACTCCCATAATTTATGCATCATTATACGGCTATCTTGATGTTGTTAAATATCTTATCTCTGATGGAGCAAATAAAGAAACAAAGAATAATGAAGGAAATACACCACTCATTTATGCATCATGGAATAATCATCTTGAAGTTGTAAAATATCTTATCTCTGTTGGAGTTAATAAAGCTGCAAAAGATAATGAAGGAAAAACTGCACTATCGCATGCAAAAGGTAAAGTAAGAGATTATCTAAAATCTATTGGAGCCAAGTAATTTAATCAGATAATTTAAAGCAAAATGCTACATTCAACACCGAAAAATTTTAAAATGTTTTATAAAAACATCAGATTTCAAAAGTATAATTCTTTTTTAATATAGACTGGAAATTATTACCACTTGACTTCAATTAATAATTAGTAGCAACTGTTAAATAGTAATGCAATAATTCATGGTAACAGAACTATAGCGTTTCTTTAAATTTTTTTGTTTTAGTGGTGTGATCGTTATGATATGAACAATTATGGAAAGTAAACACTCAAAAAATGGTAATAAAGTGTATATCAATGCCATATTCATTACGGATATCATAACTATACTTCAAATATACATTTATAAATTCTTTTTCGTGTCATTATTCCTAACTAATGACTTTTTCTCATTATTTAATTAAATGATAAATTGCAATATTATTATTAAATTTCTTTTGAACTATTCGACTCAATTTATTCTGCATTATGAATGAAATTTTTATTCTATTCAAAGTAATAACATTTGATGTCATTTATTCAAACAAACTCAGTAAATGAGATGAAGAAATATGATCTCATTCAATAACTATATTATTTGGTTTGTTCTTTCAGAATGGATAACAATGCAAACAAGTGCATTTTGATTTTTGTTTTTTCAGATATTTTGTAAAGTCACGACATTTGAAAAATGAGTCGAGGTCTTACTCTGAATTTCGAATATATTGCTGCACACATCAATGATTATATTCAAAATGAAAATTTCTTTTAGACATTCGATCTAGAAGACATTATAACAATAATGAAATATTCAAAATTAACACCAAAACAGTTCAATTCTCTTCTTAAACAGTCATCATCAACTATTAATGCCAGCAAATTATATGTCTGTACACGAAATGCGAATGTTACTGTCCAAAGCATCAATGATGTTGTATCAGTTCTGAAATCAGTTAAAACATACATGAAATTCAAAATATTTGATGGTGTCATTGATTTTTTATTACAAAATGATAAGGAAAGATGCGAAAGTGCAGAAGAAAATAAAAAGCTTCGAGAACAAATTCAAAAGCTTCAAGAACAAATTCAAGATTTGAAATTTCAAAAGAATCGAAAATTTTTAACTAAAATCACAGAACTTAAGATATCTAATGATTTTGATAGTGTTTACAAACTCTTCGGAAAAATTTCTGCAGAAGACAATCAAGAAATGATGTCAAAAGCTTGTGAAGAAGGACTTTGGAAAAAGACAACAGAGAATAGAAAGAATGTACTTCATGTTGCATGTGAAAAGGGAAATCTTCAGCTTGTCAAATTACTTATCGAATGTGGCTGTAACAAAGAAACAATAGATGAATATGGAAATACTCCTCTCATTTATGCATCATGGAATAATCAACTTGAAGTTGTTAAATATCTTATCTCTGCAGGAGCTAATAAAGAAGCAAAGAATAACGATGGGAAAACTCCTTTAATTTATGCATCATTATACGATTATCTCAATATTGTTAAATATCTTGTCTCTGATGGTGCTAATAAAGATGTAAAGAATAATGATGGAAAAACTCCCATAATTTATGCATCATTATACGGCTATCTTGATGTTGTTAAATATCTTATCTCTGATGGAGCAAATAAAGAAACAAAGAATAATGAAGGAAATACACCACTCATTTATGCATCATGGAATAATCATCTTGAAGTTGTAAATATCTTATCTCTGTTGGAGTTAATAAAGCTGCAAAAGATAATGAAGGAAAAACTGCACTATCGCATGCAAAAGGTAAAGTAAGAGATTATCTAAAATCTATTGGAGCCAAGTAATTTAATCAGATAATTTAAAGCAAAATGCTACATTCAACACCGAAAAATTTTAAAATGTTTTATAAAAACATCAGATTTCAAAAGTATAATTCTTTTTTAATATAGACTGGAAATTATTACCACTTGACTTCAATTAATAATTAGTAGCAACTGTTAAATAGTAATGCAATAATTCATGGTAACAGAACTATAGCGTTTCTTTAAATTTTTTTGTTTTAGTGGTGTGATCGTTATGATATGAACAATTATGGAAAGTAAACACTCAAAAAATGGTAATAAAGTGTATATCAATGCCATATTCATTACGGATATCATAACTATACTTCAAATAAAAAAAAAAAAAAAAAAAAAAGGTAGTGGGGCCTCCAGGCACTTCGTGCCCTCTAGCCCTGAAGATGTTTAGTATAACTTTGTCCGGACAAGTAAGGGTCTATCGTCGCTACAGGAAAAGTTACAGGCGTTCCAAGGAAGTATACTTTGAGAAGCCTTCTTCTGGGTCGAAAACATTATATAATGTGTCGCTTTTCAAATTATATATGTTTTCATGTTTTTGTCACTTTTCTGTCACTTTTCAGGAAAAAACATTTTTATTATTATATATAAATGAATTTTACAAAACCACCGTTACCGTTCTTTTGGAAATAAGAGTAAATGTAAAGATTATATTGAGAGAACTTAAGAAACTACCGAATGGTCTAACATTTGTAGATTTGTTCGGTGGAAGTTTCTATATTCCCATTTGTGCCATACAATATTCCCAGACTCAAAGATTATATGCAATGACTTCGACAACTATATGGACCGTCTCAAACATATACCAGACACAAACAATATATTGAAAGCGTTAAAAGAAAAGATACCTATAGGTAAGATGGAACGTATACCATTAGATAAGAAAAATATTGTGAGAGAGGTTTGAAAAAAGCAGAATATATAGACTGGGATAGTATATCTGCTAGACTATTATATAGTGGTGCTATAAGAGTTCATGACATTGAAACACTTATGTCAAAAGTTTTATATCTTAACTATACAAATGTTTTTCAAAGAGGACATAGAAAAATATATTGAGGGTATAGAGTTTGTGAGATGTCATTGGACAGAGTTGTATGAAAAATATAAAGACAAGGAAAATATTTTCTTTATAGTGGACCGCCGTTCTATAACACATGGATTTTCAATACCAAGTAGACTGGACTTTGAGAGACTCTTTAGAAACTTTAGACGTTTTACATAACTGTCCATGCTTATTTTACATCCGATAAAAGTGGTTTTGGAAACCGTTATGAGATGGTTAGAGGACATACATGACTATGAGTTTAGATATGACAGATAGAATATGAGAGAGTCCTATAAACCGGAGAAAGTGTCATAACAAAGAAATTTTACTAGTAAGTAAAGTGGTTTGA